GTGAAAATGGCCATACTCCCAAAATTGTTACACAGATTCAATGCAATCCCAATTAAAATACCATTCACATATCTCACAGAGCTAGAGAAAACTTTCCTCAAATTCACTTGGAACCAGAAGGGATCCAGAATATCAAAAGCAATCCTGGGAAACAAAGGAGAGGCAGGAGGTGTTGCACAATCCCTGACCTGAAATTATACTATAAACCTACTGTGATAATATAGCATGGTATTGAATAGAGACAGACCTCAGGATCAGTAGAACATATTAGAAGGTGTGGACGCAACTGCAAATACACTGTCACCTTATCTTTGATAAAGGGGTCAAACATGCTCACTAGAAAAAACATAGCCTCTTTATTAAATGGTTCTGGAAATACTGGCTTTCCACATGCCGAAGGCTAAAACTAGACCTATGCCTATCACCATGCACAAAGCTACAGTCAAAATGGGTCAAAGATTTAAATTTTAAAACAGAAACACTAACTCTTCTGGAGGAAAATGTAGGTAGAAGTCTTAAAGACATAGGGGTGTGTAGAGAGTTCATGAATGAACTGCACAGGAAATATTTCAAAGAATCAACAACTGGAATCCCATCTTTTTGAAAAGTTTCTGCCCTTCAAAACAAATCTCCAACAGAGTAACAAGAAAACACACAAACTGGGAAAAAATTAAAGCAGACTGTCCCTCCAACAAATACCATCTATCTAGAACATATAAAGAATTTTAAAAAAAATTAGGCCTACTAAATTCAAAGATCCAATCCAAAAATGGGCATCTGAGATGAATGTACACTTCTCAGAGGAAGAAATACAAATGGCAAGTAAGTATGTGAAAAAAATCTTCAACATCATTGGTCATTTGAGAAATGCAAATTAAAACAACACTGAGATTCTATCTCACCCCAGAAAGAATGTCTAACCTCAAGAAGTCCACCAGTAACAAGTGCTGGAGAGGCAGTGGAGAAACAGGAAACGTTCTGCACTGTTGATGGGAGTGAAGACTGGTACAACCACTGTGGAAATCAGTGTAGAATTCCTTTAAAAGCAAGCATTGTCCATCTCATTCAAGGCAGCTATTCCCCCTCAGTCTCAGTTACTCTTCTCGTTGCTGAGACAGATACCCAACACTCAAAATGAAGGAAGGAAAGGTTTATTTACTTCACAGTTACTGAAGGCTTCAGTCCACACTCAGCTGACTCCAAGGCAGTGGCATGGGGCAGATAGCATCCTTTCATGGTGATGACAAAGAGCAAGAGAGCAAATCAGAGGAGTAACAGCAACAATGGCAACAAAGAGGAAGTCTGTTTCTATCTCTGTTATGTTACCTTCAGGCTAGCTACCCAAGGCTGAGAAAAGTACTCACACCCATAATCTCAGGAATACTATGACCCATAATCCCAGTGGATCATGAGTTAATCTCAGACTCCAGAAGCCAACCCATAACTGCATGAGGCTTCAGGGATACACCTATACACAAATCATAATATCTTGCCCCTGGGCCCCCAAAGGCCCATGCACATTCCTTTATGCAAAAGGCATTTTAATCTATCTCTAATAAGAGTTGCCAAAGTCCCAACAGTTTCAGCATTGCTGAAAAGTCCAAATCCCAATTCTCCTCTAAAATCCAAGCAAACTCTTAGCTGTGAGCCCCTGTACAAAGGAAAAGTTAAATACTTCCAACATTCAGTGGCACAAAACAAACATTACCATTCCAAAAGTTGCAAACAACAGGGAAATACAAAGCTTTGGGACCAGCACAAGTCCAAAATCCAGCAGGGCAAACATTAAATCTTGTAGGTCCTTGTGGAACGTTGGAAGCAATCTGTGGCAAATTGTGAGCTCCATGTGGCTCCAACCCTATGGCACTCTAGGTGGTAGCTCCCATGTCTTTTCTCTTAGTCTGGCTTTGCTCCCTCTTTGCAGTTTCCCTTAGACGATCGATGTTCCTGGCTTTTCCAGACTTCTGGGGTTTCCACTGAATAGGCTTCTCACTTAAGCTTTATACACTGCCCTCCGAGGAGCACACTGCCTGGCATCCTAGGCCTTCTTCTGAAATCTAGGCAAAAACTTCTTAACCTCAGAACCCCATCCTGCTAGCACCTAAAACCAATGCTGTGTCAATGATACCAAGGTGTGCTGCCAGCTGGAGCAGTAGCCGGCTTCCTTCTCTCTTGGCTATAGGGGTTGAGTGCCTGGATTGCTGAGCACTCTGACTCTGATTCTGAGGAATAAATTCTCCATGCCAGCACCATTTTGGAACCTGGTGTGGCTGCTGCCATCATTCTGGAACATGGGGCTCAGCGGCTTTTTCCTCCAAAGCAAAGTCCCCAAATTTGCAGTTCGGAAACTGCAAAAGGTGGAGACCTGCTGCTTTCAGTGATGCCCTCAGGCCATCCTTTTGACTCTCTTGTTCCTTACCATTAATGGAAATCCTCTCAGTTCTATCTTTGCAGTCCACAGCTTTATTGGAGCTTCCTTTCTGGCCAAACTCACATTTTAAATCATCCTGCTGGGCTCTTTGCTCTTGAGTCTCTATATAAATCTGGCTAAAAGCCACCAACAACAGCCATGCAACTCCCTCAATATTCTGCTGCTTTGAAATATCTTTTGCCAGATTATTAGTCCACTATCCTTAATCTCAGTCTCAGACAAAGTCTCTGGACACAAGCAAAATTCAGACAGACTTTGGGCTAAACCATAATATAAATCATCTGGAGTCCAACAACCAGTGCTGTCCTTCCCAGAAGAAACCTCCCCAGCCTGGTCTTTATAGGCAGGCTTTCTATCATCAGCCTTCTGGTCTTCTGAGCTCTGACCAGAATCTCCCAAATAGAACAGCCAAAGGCATTCCAGCTCTTCACTATAGGTGACCTCTTCAGACCTTTCCTATCCCTTCCCATAAGCCATTCCCAAAAATTCATAATTCCCAAAAGCTCATAGCCAGGTTTACCCACAGGAATGACCCCACTCCTGCAATATTTTTTAGAAGAACAGAAGTCATCATACCATATACCCATGTTTATAGGCATACAATTTGTTGTAGCTAAATCCTGAAACAACCCAGATGCTCATCAACTGAGGAATAGATAAAGAAGATGTAGTATTTTTACACAATTAAGTATTATTCAGCTATAATGCAGAATAAATTTGAGTCTTTTGTCAGTAGATAGATGCAAATAGAGAACATACTCTTAAGTGAAATAAATCAGAACAGCATGTGCAAACACCATATTGTCTTAGTGTGAGAACCTGAAAGAGAAAAATGGAATCTGAAGGATTCAATAGATACTGGGAAAAGGGAATGAACTTATTCAAAAGGAAAGAGTTAATGAGTTGAGGAGAAGGACAGGAGAGGGAGTGGGGGAAAGAGATACATCTATGTATGTAAGCCAGATAGTTTGGACAACTGTACTGTGTATTTGTGCTGTTTTATGGAAAGAAGCAGTTAATGCTTAATTTGTTTTGTCTCCTTTCTCAGTTGTACCTTTTCTCTTCTTAATTTCTTATACATTTCTTTCTTTTCTCCTTTCTTCTTCCAATTTTACATGCATGTATTTGATGATATGAATAACTGGTTGAAGGACAACACTATATATTACAACAAATACTGTGAAATTCATATTACTTGGTTAAGTGAAATTCTGATCACTTGTAATTTTTTTCTGTTTTAATTCTAAATTGTACTCTTTAAAAAGAAAAGAAAGAAATAGTGGTTGTGGATTGCTCCTCCAGGAAAGATGAGTTCAAGCTTATTGAAGCAGTCCCTGCTTTGGTGCCATATCAGAGGCTGGTGGCAAGGGTAAGGGGCCCAGAGAGGAGCTTCTGTATTCCTATTCCCATTCTGCCCCATGTTACTTCCTGCATGTATGTACATCACCTAATCCCCCTGAACTTAGCCATGAGAAAGACCCTCATTGGGACATAGAAAGATAAAATGGCATATACACTTACATTTCTTAGTGTGGGCCTGGTACCTGGGCATGTTCCATCTTTTTGAGTCCTGCTGAAAATGAGTCATTTAAAATATGTACAGTGTTTTATTTTATCATTATTTACCAGCAGATACTTTAGTATCTCTAGAATTTCAAATGCACAATAGAAGGATTGATTGCCAAGAATTAAAGTTTGGCATTCCTTAGTCTCCTCCCCCACTGGCATACCTTTTGTGTTCTTGGTGTAGTTTATTTACTTCATGGGTTTAATCAGGGCAATGTAGGCAAAAACATGTAACATTATCAGCCAGCAGCCATTTCTTAAGTGTTCTCTGAAACCCCAGGAAACGGGCAGAACCCCAGGGAAAGTGGGCCAGTGGCTGGGAGGTAGGGTGAGGGATGTGAATGGAAGTCATCGCTGTCTTAAAGAATTAATGATTAAGCTGGAGAGAGACTGTATTGGGGTGTGCAGTTATCCAATTTCCTCTAGGTGTTGTGGTCATCCTTTAAGTTGATCATCTGGGCCTAGTAGGACTCATCAGTTTAAGAGTGCTTGTTGGCACCCTTTCAGCTGTATACAGGAAAGTCCCTTACCATGAAAAGTCTGGCAGCTTGGTACTATTTACCTTGTTAACACCTTTACTCTGAATATGTCTGTATCACTTGTGCAGGGCTTTGTGGAGAGACTGCTAGCTCTGCCGATCTGCATCTGTCCCAAGTCCTAATGATGTACACCTAGGCAGCCCAGTCTCCCTGGAGTCAGTTTATGACAAATGTGATCAGGACCATGCCAGATGCTGTATCCATAGGACCAGCCTTCCTGCTGTAATGTGGTAGCCTTGCACCTTTTCCACAGTGTTGCAGATGAGATCTAGGCACGGGAGCTTAGGCACCTCTCCTGTTTTAGTTTCACCTTTCGTCTCTGCCTTCATTGTTTGTAGACCTGTCAGTTGCCTACCACCTGCCCTTTTCCTCCCTGTCTCTCCCCACACACTGTTTTCTTTGTGTAAAGCAATCCTGTTTTTAGGGCATATGTCCTTAATGTATTTTTCTATCTTATCCTGCAGGGGAGTTGCTGAGCCAGCCGAGACCAGAAGGAGTGGCAGAGATCATTTGCCCCAAGAACGGCAGTGAGAGAGTGAATGTGGCCTTGGTTTATCCACCTACGCCAACTGTGATCAGCCCCTGTTCCAAGTGAGTTGGCGAAGCCTCACTGTCCCCATCCTCACCCCTGCCCCTGATTCTGTAGATGTGGTACCCAAAGCCAAGTTCACCTGCAGCTACACAAACCTTTTGGAGTCCTTTAGGACAGATGGGATTCTTCTGAGTGACATCAGTGTCACAGCTTGTACAGAAAAAGAGAAACATTACTTTGTCTCTTTTGCAGTTTCCTCTTTTTTTTTTTTTATTTTCCTGATGAAGTCAGAGCACTTCAAACAGCTTTATTGAGATATTTACAAATCACACACTTTTCTTATTTAAAACTTACAGCTCATTGCTTCCTAGTGTACTTGCAGTTATGTGCAATCAAAGGAGCATTTTCTCTCAGATCATTTATGTGCTTTGCTGAAAGGCTGCTAAGGTTTACCAAGACTACAACACTTTCCTAAGTGATTTCATAGAAAACTACTAATTTTTTTTTTTTCTACAGAGCTGTGATTGGTGAGTCCCTGTGCAGTCTGCTGTATGTTCTTCCAAGATGGACAGAGTCAGGATGAACACATGTAAACTAGACTTTTCCTAAAATATGAGCTTAGTATTACAGATAAAACTCATCCTGTTTGGGTTTTAAATTCATATACTTATTTTTGTAGTACCAGGAACCAAAGAGGCCAAGCGGGCCTGTACCAAGCACCTGGAAAAGCAGCAGCCAGAGATCTGTCTCAGACCTCAGCTGTGCTTGCTAGCAGCAACAGGATTTTCCCAGCCACGTATTTATATTCATGCACCAGGCTTTCAATTTTCTTCCTGGTTGGCCACATCGAATTCTTTTTTATAATCCATAAGCTCATTTATAAGGCAGACTGTAACATTTGCATGTGAGAATTGAGACAGCATCAGACTTGCTGGCCACCTGCCACAGCTCTGTGTGGCAGGAGCCGTGCCTCATCCCTGAAGTGACAGCTGTCCTAGCTTCTGTGTGCTTGCTGTCCTGTCGTGGTCTCTAGTGGCGTTATCACAAGCTGCAGTGCAAGTGTGAAGCCCCCTTTTTTTTTCCAAATTAGGTAACTCATTAGAGAGAACACCCATAGTCCATCTTGGCTGAAAAATATCACGGAATGCCCAAGAGAAATTCCTATCTAGAGCTCTGTTTAGAGTGCTGGTTTAGCTAACACGGGCCTAATATATTTCATCACTGATAAAACCCTAGGTCACTGTGAAGTCTTTTAGGACTTCTTAAATCTTAAAGCAGAAAGACATAGTAAGTTCATGTTAACCAGAATGTTTATCATCTGCATGAGCAGATCAAAAAACATACTTTGCACTGTTTTTCTAATTTATGTGAATTTGAGCACATTGGCCTACACCCAATTTTCAAACACACACACATACACACACACATTTAGGATAAGAATAAGGAGGTATTACAGAGCCAGTGAAGTATAGCATGAAGAGAGACCATTATTCAGTACATTTGCCATTGATGTAAATTCTCTTGAGCTAAGAAAGACATGAATCTATTGTTTTGCTAGAAACACATTGCATTTAATAGGC